CGCGAGATCCCCGCGCTACCAGGTAGGCCGGGCGGGGCGTGGGGAGCCTGCGGGGCCGTCCCAGCCCCGCCCCGCCCCGCCCCGCCGCGCGGAGGTGACGCTGCTCCGAGGAGAGCAGGGCGGTAGCGTCACCGCGGGCCGTGCCCGGCCTGCTCCTCAGCTCCCGCAGGCCGCAAGCCCCGCCCAGGTAGCCTGTTCCTGCTCGTCTCCAGCCCGTTTCCCCGGCGGAAGCTCGAGGCCATTGCCCCTGTCCCTGTCCCCTAGATACGTGCTGCTCGCCTTCGGCCACCCGGCCCCCACTCGAGCCACCCGCGCGAATGCCAGCTCTCAGTATTCACTCTGTCTCTTGCAACGAAAACAACACTTTTTGCCTACTGACAAGTAACAGAGCAGTTTTTCTATTGCAAACACCCCCGAAAGTTGGCAACTGCAGATTTCTGTCTGACATCTCCGGGTTTATCTTGGTGATCATATTTGCAAACTTAACTTGCTAGCTAACCTGGTGCGATGCACCGGGGTACAGGGGCACCCTGGTTGAGAATCACTGCCCTGGGGGCATGGAGAAAAACCCATTTCCAGCTTCTCCGTAATTGCCCTTCAGGTATTTGAAGACTGTCATCAAACCCCCTTGGCTTTCTTTTCTCCAGACTTTAAATAACCCCAGCTCTTTCAGACTTTCATCATAAGTCTTGTCTCCTATGCCCCTAAACACCATTGTTGTTCTACACTGGTCTCTTTCCAAACTGCCTTCTTGTGGTGTGGGCCCAAATACCCTAGTCTAGGTTAGGCCTCGTCAGTGCTCAATGGGGCGGAAGAATTGCTTTCCTTAATTTGCAGGTGACACCCCTGTGTGCTGTTGGCTTCTTTTTTTTTGACCAACAGCTTTAACTTTAACTAGCTTTTTTACCTAATGCAATGGGGGTGGAAGTCCTGATGCAGCTGAAGGTGTCGAATGACAATTTTGCAGGGGAAGATTTCTGTGCTTGGAAATGAATCGTGAGATGAAGGAACGAGCAGTGTTCACAAAGTCTGTACGTACCAGTAGAAAGCTAGGGTGAAAAATTGTAAGAATATCCTTTTATGGGTGGAAGGAAGAGGTGTTTTGGGATAGTTTTTGCTGTAAGGAAAAAATAAGTGTATTCGCTTGTCAGTCGCAAATAAATTTGTTTACTTGCACTGTCATTTTAAAGGAGCATTGTTAGCCTCATCTCCTTGCAAACAAATCTGCTTGTTTGTGTCTTTGTAAAGTCTTTGCTAATGAAACTGTACACTGTCTCAGCTTAGACACTGAAAACTTGTCACTTTCTCTGCTAGGTTCTTCATGTTGTGGTGTTTGCCAAACCTGTGAGAACATGTGCATTTGTTTAAAGTCTCTGTCTACTGGAATTAAAAAGAAACTAAGCAAGATTGTAAATTAAGTGAAACATTCCCCCTACACCGCAACAAACATTAATGAAAACATTTCCCTTGTTTTCTCGTTGCAAAATGTAAAGTTCTCAACAGAACTGAGCTCAGTGGGACACTTAAGAAACATATGTTACACCACATGAAAGTTAGAAATACTCTAAATGTTTAAAGATAATATTTTACTTTAATCAAATAAACTGGTTTTAGACTTCTGTGTCTGTGCAAGTGCTCAGGTTTTAAACTGAAAATGAGACCTGATTCCCGACTCAATTTTTTAAAACCAACTTTTCATTTCCCTTCTCCCCCACCCCCTCGAATATTGGCAACAGTTTCCTAGGGGATCTCAGGGCAGGCCAGGTATATCCAGCTGTACTGGACTAGTGTATGTTCCTCTGAATACATCTGGTACGTCATTCAAACAGTAAGGTGCCTAACAGGGTTACCATTTAAGTGGAAAGTAATTATTGTTTATAGAGCACTACAAGCATATGTGAAGTTTAACAAACACAAAAGGCTGAGGTCGCCGCCATGAGGCACTTACAGTCTGAAACAAATGTTATACATGGGATAACTGCAAACACAAGAAGGCATAAGGATAGGCAATGGAGGCTACAGTGTCGTTAACTAATATTTGTCTTTCTGGCTGTGAAATCATCAAGACAAGTTGGCCTTCATAATGTAAACTATTAAGCCAGAAGGGTGAAAATATAATTTAAAAAAAGAGTAAGTTCTGGAAGATAAAGCCAAATCTGTGTGAAGACCCTGAGGGCAAGGTCCTAGAGGTGTGTTGTTCTCAGAGGTCAGTGGGAGCACTCCCTGCAGGATTACTTTGTAATTTTTGCATCTAGAAATTATTGCATTTACAACAGATTGTCATAGTACATATTGTTCTACAAAGTGAAAGTGTGGTAACCAACTTGCCCCTTTAGAATCATACAATATAGAACTTGGAAATACGTGATAGAACTAATAATATGTAATGCAGAGCCTACCTCCCCCACAAAGTCCAAGGCAGTGATTCTTGGCTAGGGGACTGTGGCATCTTGGGGTGCCTTGAGATCCTTTCAAGGGTGCCATGGGGTGCCACGCAATGTTAGCACTGTTGAGTTTGCAAACATGATTCACATGATAAACTGAGGGATTTTAAAACAGGAATCCATAGTACTAAAAACATTCTGACCCAGTGTGGTCTTTCTGAGTTCTTTGCAAGAGAAGAATTGCTCTATTATTTTTCTGTAATCAAAAAAACCAAGTGAAAACTAAGAGTTGGCATTTTCCGAGGGGTGGCTTGAATCTTGAGAACCACTGATTTAAGTAAGTATTATTGTTGTTTCTTTGTAAAGTGGAATCATCATCCTATTTTAGTCAGAGGAGTAGTCTCTGGAATTAGAAATGGACAGTTTCTAATCTCAGATTCACTCACATGCATCTGGTATGTTCATTTATAGCTTTAATAAACCCTTTCAGCTATGACAAATAATAACTTTCTGAGTGGAAGAGTCAAAGAGAGCTAAGATTTAACATGCCTGTGCCTTTATGCATCCAAGTAGTCCCACTGAATTCAGTAATTTTATGCATAAAGTCATTTGTGTTTCAGTCCCATGAGATGCTTGCAATATGGTGGTGTATAATGTTCATTTATATATTATTTGAAAAGATATGGCTAACTCAAGTATAGGTGGTTTTAGAACCAAGTTTGGTTCTAGTTATTAGGCCTCCTAAGTCCCTATGCCAATTTTTGTAGGTTTTCATTCACACTTTCTTTCTATTTTTAAAGGGGTTTTATCTCCCAAATACTGTGTGAAAGAAACACACAAATATAATGGAAACTTGCGGAGCAAGAAACTAGCAGTGAAACTTGATTATTCATAATATGCTGCCTGGCAAATAAACCAACATTCAAACTGAAGCTAAAAGAATGGAGAGAACCTTTTATTTTTCCCCTCTGATCACATGTGCAGCAACTCTGGTTGTTTACATCAATTGTATGTCTAAATGAATAGAATTGTGATGATTATTTTATAAGCTTTAATTAAACAAAAAAGAAAAAGAGCAGCCCAAATCATTATAATGAGAACTTTTGATGGTGAACTGAATGCAGTTTTATCTTTTTAGCTGTGCACAGCCCTTGTGCCTTTGCTGCTGCTACTCAGTTTCCAAGCAGCAGCAGAATAGAATTAACAGGTCTGTAGTCAGTTTTAGTCTTACTATTTGGACTCTGTGCAGAGTGGCAAAACCAGTAATAATCAACTGCAACCATAGGCAGTGGAAGGTGGGGGCTAATGGGGTTTAGCCCCCCAAAGCTTTTCGCTGTGACAGGTGACAGCAGCAGCACCACGGTGCTGCCGTCCCACGGTGCCTGGCCCCACTTGGTGTGCAGCCGCTCCTCCACCTCCACATACAGCATCAGCATGCGCCAGTCCCACAATGGCCCTGCGGGAGGGTGGGGTGAGGGTCAACCAGTGCTCAGTCCCCCCCCCAATAATACTTTCCTCCACCACTTATGACTACAGCATTCTTTTGCTGTTTAGGAAAAAGGTGAACTGTAGAGGTTAGTATTAGAGTTATGAGCAAGATATTTTACCTACTTGTTATAACTTCAAAATGCAAGGGATGTTCTTTTGCCCTTAATTAGAGTAACTTAATTTCAATTCTGTGTACAATGTGTGCACACATTTTATCTCTTTTTTATAGTCTTGTTTCCTCATCCTTTCTATCTTTGTGTCCTTTCTGTGACTAAGCTAGGTGAGTCAGAGCTGAAGTGGCCTTGTTGTGAGACTCAACAGATATCTGGGGAAAACTTAATTTTGATTATTTAGTTCTGAAAATGTAGAATTGCCAGCATGGTTCTGCTGAGAACAAGGCAATTTTTAAATGAGTGACAGAAGATAAAGTAGTATGAATGATGTACAGTATTTTATTGGATTGTATATTCCAATTGTAACTAGGTTTTTAAAAGACAAAAATTAGAGATTTTAAAAAGCCAAATTAAAACATGTTTTGATAGTATCTTTAATTCCTGAGATATATTAATGTATTTTATATGAGTGTTATGACTTTTTAGGTAAACATGGCAGCATGTTTAGTAAATGATCACTCACATCCAGAGCTGTAAGAGTATGTTTTTTGTGGACTCTCTTCAAGTTTGACCAAACCAGGCAGTTGGAACAAAAGGTTAGTGGTTCAAAACCCACACTGAGAAGGTAAGTTGCTCAATGTGAACCTTGTACCAGTAGCAGCCTTTTGGCCCAAAGGTGTGTGGGAGTTGAACTGAGTCCTATTCACATTATAATAAGTAGTAGGAACAAAAACTGGAAACTTAAAAAAAAATCTTCCGTGAATAGCCTAATTTTGATTGACTGTAAATCAAAACAAATATTTTCAGATTTTAACTCATCTGGAGTAGTGGGGAGACCTGTTTAGTGTACTTTGAGATACAGTAATAAAAAATCAATGCTATGTTTTTTAACAAGTAAGAAAGAAAAAAAGAAAAACCAGAGCCAGAAGTGTAGAAAATAAATTGAAAATTTGAACAGAGAGAACAATGTTGATAGCACCAATTAGTGACATTTATTTCTCCGATGTGTTTTTCATTCAACACTGACAGTACTATATTTGTTAAAGGTAGAAACACTCATTTTCCCCCATTTAGGAAAACTATGAACGAATGAAAGCATTAGTGACTGAACTCCAAGAGCAAGCAGAAAAAATCAGACTAGGTAAGTGCCATATTCATGATTTTTAGAATGTTTTAAAAACAGCCCTGGCATAGAGAGCTTTTTTGACTGATGCTGGTTAGTCAATTGTAACAGTGTTCACTCAAGTAAAGTCTGCTGTCTGGATCCCATGAGACACACAGAAATATAAGAATCTTCTTATTACTGAATCTTGCTCTGTTATCTTCCATTAGTTGCAACCTATAAAGGGATAATGTAAGGATAATCTAACTTGGTTCAAAATGTAGGTTTTTCAATAACAACAAACACCTGATGTCAATAGAATGGTTCCATGACATTTTAAAAATGACCAGAGAAACTGTTTTTATATTGCCATATCCTATGTTTACCATTCAGATCTCACAGCAGCGTGTTAGCGCATAAGGCCTGAGAATTACTAGAAACTCATTATAAATAAGAGAAAAGCTGAGTTAAGGATAATAAAGGCTAATTTTGTCCTTCAGGCTGAGAGGGGGGTAAAAAGTAAACAAACTGAATAAAGAATAAAATGTGATATTTAAAAGCATTTCAGGTTTAATCAACTAATATTTTAATAAATAAATATATTGTTTTAATGAATTTAATGGCAGTGTCTTTTTAAACAAACAGAATTATTAACAAGAGACTTACTGATTATCTTATACATCTCCTGTTTTCCCTCTTCATGCTGGTCCATCTCTGTTTTCTGTTTTTGTAATCCCTCAGCTGGGTGATTACACTTCCTTTAAAGTTCTCTTTTAATGTGTCAATTTGTAGGGACAGTCTTTAAAGGACTGTGGTATTATGAGACAGAGGGGGTTTTATTCTGTTTTTTTTTTTAATTTTTAAATCCAGAATCAATCTTCTGTAATATACAATTCACGTTAACTAAGTCCAGTGACCTGAAAATTTAAAAATTTAAAAGGCCATACAAGTGCTGAACAACTAGGCCTTGAAAAGGTTACACCTCTACTTTTAATTCTGCCCTTTTGTTTGAGTGCATTGTGAGACTGTTACTTCTGTGAGACAGTTTATTCATACACAAGTTTTCAAAGTATGCAGTAGGGGTGTAGGTTGTAGCCGTGTTGGTCTAAGGACATAGGCAGACCACCATATACAAGAAACCCACAGACCAACATACATATCTGCACAGAACCAGCAATCACCCTAAACACACCAAAAAAGCTGTGATATACAGCCAAGCCCTCAGATACCACCGCATTTGTACTGAAGAGAACACCCGGGATTGCCACCTCACCAATCTTAAAAAGGCTTTCACCCAGCAAGGACACTCCTCCAGAGAGATAGATCGCACGTTTGAAAGAGCCACCCGGATACCACGTGAAGAACTGCTGCAGTACAGAAGAAAACCCCCCACAAATCGCACACCGCTGGTTATGACGTATCACCCCTCCCTTGAACCTTTACAGAAAATCCTCAAAAAATTGCAATGCATACTAGAAAGAGACCCTATTCTTAAAAAGATCTTCCCAGAGCCACCCATCCTAGCCTTCAAACAAGCACCGAATCTCACCAACCTCATCACCATAAGCAAACTTCCTCAAGCCCAGAACACACCAAAAGGATCCAGACCGTGCCATGACAAGAAATGCAAAACCTGCCAACACATCTCCACCACCCCCATAATTACTACACCCCATAACAGAGCCATCAGCATCCCTGGATCTTACAGCTGCACCTCCAGAAATGTAATATATCTCATCCAATGCACCAAATGCCCTGATGGAAAATACATAGGAGAGACCAAACAACAACTGTGCACCAGAATGAACGCACACCGGAAATCCATCAAAGACAGAAATTGGATTTTTGATACATTATAATCTGCCTGGCAACTGACTCCCCAGCCCAGCCCCTGGCTTCTTTACTTTTCATTCCATCCAGGAAGAGCACACACCAACTGCTGAAACTTCCTTAGCCTGACGAAGGGTTTTTGAACTTGAAAGCTTGCTTAATAACAAAGTATGCAGTGAAATTTCTACAATTTTTGAAGGGAGCATAGTTAATCTTTCTAATTTAATTTGACATGTTTGTAGGACTGGACTCCAAATTATTTCTTCTGATGATGCTGGATATCCTTGACCCCCCTCCCTTCTCCCATTGGCTTTCACAAATAAGGAAACTGTTTAACACAGGGGTGGGCAATTATTTCAGGTGGAGGGCGGCTTACCCAGTTTTGGCAGGCTGTGGAGGGCCGCATGGGTAGCCCCTCCCCTTGACAGGTGCCCCGCCCCCTGGTCACTCACTATCTTGGGACCAATGTCCCAATGTCTTGGGACTAATGTCCCAGGGCCAGCACCAGTGGGGTCCACAGCGGGGCGCAGGCTGGCAGGGGTCCGTGGAGCCGGGGGGGGGAGCCGCCTTGCCTCCATAGAGCCCCTGCTGGCTGGGACCCCGTGCTCCTGCCACCCTGCTCTGGGCCCTGCTGGTGCTGGCCCCAGGGCACCGGTGCAGGTCCAGTGCTGCCACTGGCTCCCTGCCCACTCACACCCAGTGCCCCCCAGCCCCACAGGCCAGACAGGGGGCAACACACAGCCCTGACCCCCTGCTTGCCAGCAGGGAAGAAGCTGGTGCTGAGCATGGGGAAAAGTGGCCCCTCCCCCACCCTGTGGTTGGTGCTCGCTGCTGCAGCCACTTGCAGCCCGGACAGGGCTGTCCGGAGCAGGCACAGGCAGCCCCACACGGGCTGTGAGCAGCTGCAGCACGGGGCATCGGGCATGGAGCAGGGAAGGGGCCGCTTCCACCCCCCCTGTGCTCCTTCCCTGCCTGGGGTCCCCCTCCACCCTTTTCCTCCCCCCCCCCTTACCTGCAGTGCCCGCGCAGGGCAGCCACGTGCTCCCAGGCCAGAAGCCCGGCATAGGGGCAGGGGTGGGTGGGTCCCACTGTTGTTGGAGCCTGCTGGGCTTCTTCTGGGTCCTACTGCCCTTGGTTCCTGTCATTTTTGACAGGAACCAAGGGCAGAGACCTATTAATTTTCTACAATTTTTAGGGACCCCATGGGCTGGATAGAATGACCTCGTGGGCCGGATTTGGCCCGTGGGCCATGTTTTGCCCAGCTCTGGTTTAACACCTCCCAGTGATGCTTACCACATAATAAGACAGGGCTTTTAACACCAGCAAATCTTCCTGTGCTGGCCCCACAGGGAGACAGGACAAAACTAGTCTCACTTGGTCATTCTCCTTTACTTTGCTGCCTAGAGAAAACTTCCTAAGTATTAATTTACACGTAGATAGTGTAATTTAAATTATTAAGCCTACATTGTAAGGAAAAGGCATGTAAGAATGATTAAGTGCCTCTCTGGCCTTCTAAATAAGTGTCCCCTTGTTTATTTTATACAGATGAGGTTCTTTGGGAAAATCCGATATCTTTTACTTTATACATGCGCTATTATTTATATTTATTAATATACCATAGCGCCTGGGCATCCTTGTCATGGACTGGGACCCCACTATGCAAACACAGAGTAAAAAAAATCACCCCACAGAGACCTTACAAGCAAAACATAAGATATGTGGGTGGTATATGGACAGAAGATGCATGCAAGAAGGCAGGAAGCTCCAGGAAATAGATACCAATGGTCAGCATGGTAGACAGCAATCATAGCCCACCTGCAACCTGACCATCCTTGAGGCATCTCTGTAAAGGTAAATTTTAAGTAAGGATCCTGAAGGAGGATAATGAGAGAGCTTTATGAGTGGGTGAGCTCTTCCTTTATTCTCCCTCCTGATCTAAAAGGTAGGTAGTAGCTTTATGGGCCAGACAGAGGCAGACAGTAAAAATAATCAACTTGTGTTTCAGGCATTAGAGAAGGAAGAGTCAGTAGATGGATACATAACAACAGGCAAATGGCCAGAGCAATGGTCTAGGAAAATGAGTCTTGTTGTAGCAGTCTAACTGGATATCAGTGGGGCAAAATTGCATTTGACAAGGCCAGAGAAAAGGGTGCTGCAGTAATGAAGAAGTGAGATACTGAGCACTTGGATGAGAATTTTAACTCTTGTAGATGGACAGGAAAGGCTGTATATTAGTGACTTTATACCAAAAGAATCTTCAAGAGTTAGATGAGCATCAGTTCGACCTCACAGGGAGGTTCAAATTGGAGATGCTATCCAAATTCCAGGCCTGAGTGACAGGCAGCATAGTGATGATGATGATGTCCACACTGATTAGGAAAGGAGGTTGGGGGGAGTACTGTGTGTGTGTGTGTGTGTGTGTAATATCAAGAGCTCTCTCTTAGTCATATTGACAGCTAGACAGGCATGAGCTATCAGAAGGAGAGAATGAGATTTTATTTGGACCAGGCTAAAACAAGTCAAGACAAGAAGTGGATCTGTGACACTGTATAGGGATGAATTATTTGGATAAGCCAGTACTGCTAAGTGGGTGATGCATGTCAACTGTCCACATATATTTGAATGGTGCAAACACCAGGCAATAAAGGAGAGAAGTTCATTTACAAATGAACTCAATAAAGATCTTTGTAGTGTGCTGTAAGGTCATGAACATGACATAACAGCTTCTTTCCATCTCTCGTACCTATGCTACTCTAAAACCATGTTCTTAATTCAGTTTGTTCATTCCAAAAAGGGAATAAAAGGCTAAATTATCTGGACATTTATTTACTTTTAAGACTTGTTAGAAAGAATGAAGAGAAAGTTTTTTGGATTATATGCTGAAGAAACAGCATTACTTGCATTAGCATCTCCAATTAACTGTCTGAAGTGTGAACTTACATTGATTAAGCATAGTGTGTCTTTGTTTTTATAAATGAGAATTGATTTACCCATGTACTTGTACCCTAAATTTGGTGCATGACCTTGTTATTACAGGAGGTGGAGAAAAGGCTCGAAAGCTTCACACATCAAGAGGGAAGTTGTTACCTAGAGAGAGAATTGACAGACTCATAGATCCAGGGTGGGTAATTTCTTCTTGTATATTGACTTTCTTATAACTTCAGATAGTCCTTTGTTTTGTGAAAGTTAATAGAAATGCTCCCTTTTTAATTTTCCTATAATATTAGCAAGTAGTATTGATTGAAATCTTGATGTATCTATTATTTTAAAAGATGCATTTCAAAATTATTTAAAAATAAAATTTAAAACAGTATTTTTAAAACAACAAAATGGATATGTGGAAATAAAAAGCAAATAATGTTTATCATCAAGCTATTTCCTGTTAATAATCCTATTACAATATCTGTTTACAGATCTCCGTTCTTGGAGTTCTCCCAGTTTGCAGGTTATCAGCTGTATGGTAATGAAGAGGTACCAGCAGGAGGCATTATCACAGGCATTGGACGAGTGTCAGGGTGAGAACTGCTTGTGGTCTAAATTATAGAAGAAAGAGAGAGAAAAAGAGAGAAAATATTTATGTGGCTTCTTGTTTCAGTTCTGGGATTCATCTGGCATTTTGGTTCCAGTGTTTTGCTGTGTAGGCTTTCTCAAACTTTACTCTTATTCTTTAGAAAATTACTCTGAAGTGTGGTTTGCTCATTTAAGGTCCCACTGATAGAGCCTTATCAGCTTTTTTAAAATTGTTGTGAGATTCTGTTTCTCTAGGACAATGAGCCAGGATGCTGTAACAAACCTACAAAGGGCAGTGATTTCATCCAGTACTGCCTTATGCTTTTCATGGGAGTATGGTGTGTGAAATCATTGTGTATCCACCACATCATTGTGTATCCACCACATAATACTTTATGGCCAAACTGTTTCTGTTTCTTTTTTTTTAAGGAATTGGGAACAAATCTTATGCTGCTGTTCAATTTAAAATGTTATTAGTGAGAGCTGTCTTTGGTTTGGGCAGTTAAAGGGATGTAGCTGAGGAGGACTTATTATTTGGGGGGCTTTTTCCTGCCTTTTCTGATTTATTTTTGTATCTCAAGTCCTTGTGTCATTTTGAGTCTCCCTTGTTAGTCTTGGATGGAAATTAGTTGATTAGTGAGGAAGGAAGCATGCTTTTTATTTTGTAGTCTTTTGCACTGGATAAATAGTGGAATTACTCCAAGAGGAGTGATTCACAAGGTCGTCTAGATTGGTTTATGCTGCTGCAAAGAGAGAATGGCTAAGAGTCAAATCAGCCCCAAATTTGCTCTCTATTTGCATTCGGCTTAGATTTTCAAAATCAGTTTAAGTGTTCAGGGATGGGCAGATCACATGGTGCTCCACTGGTTCTCGACTGCTACAGTATGGGATGACAGCAGCCAGTGTACTCTAAAGCACTGGTGCTCAACCTCACGCCTGTGGGCTAAATCCAGCCCACAGGACTGTCATCTGGCCTGTAGGGCTCTCCACAGTGATGGTGGGGGAATGGGGTAGCAGCATGATTTGCATGGTGGGGGAATGGTAGCAACATGAATTGCCACAGCTCCCTTGTCAAATTTCTAGGGATTCAGGGTCACTGTGGCCAAATCTGGTGCATGGTGTCAGGACACCATGCTGGATCTCACCCGTGAACCGACCCTACATGCCAACCCAATCCTGGTTCTGGCCTCCGGATTGATCTGGCCTTGCACCACTCACGTGGCTCATGAAGCTGAAAAGTTGAGCACGGCTGATCTAAAGCATCTAGTAGGCTTTGATCACTGGACTGTGGAATGTGGACTTTCTCTACCCTCAACTTCCCTCACCCAAAATGCTGTGTCAAGAATCTGGCTGAATCTAGATCACTGACACAGAGGGGCTGATGAGCTATATAAGCAGTGTCCATAAAACAGAGCCACAACAAACAGCATATAGACCCTTTCCTGGTTTGTTGTAAGCCTCATTAGCATTTTCTCATTTCATGTATACACTTGTTTTAAACAGCTGCAATAAATGGCCAAGTATTACTACATCTTATTGAATTGTTTCTGATTGCAAGAATAAAGCTACTGATGCATTAACAACAGCATGAGAGTTTAGAATAAAAAAAATAACCTACATGGAAAAAAAACCTGGATGGCCAGGTTGTAGCCATATTGGTCTAGAGGCAAAAGGAATCAGGACTCGTATTAGAGGTGATATCTTTTATTAGACCAACTAGATTTTTGCAACTAATTCTTTAATTGCAAGCTTTTGGGCACAAACACCCTTGCTCAGGCATAGGAGGAAAGATTGTAAAAGTTCTCCTGGGTGGAAATGAAAGTTCATATTTTATAGGAGAGTTGAAGGTGTGGTAAAATCTCCTGTTTGGAACAGTTCATTTTATATGTAGATTAGGCTCAGAGGAAAGTTGGACTAGCCAAAAAGATGGAGCAGGCATTTCTTATGTGGCAAGGTGTCTCTGAGCTCTGTGATGATTCAAATTACCTCCAGAATGCCACTAGACCAATATGGCTACAACCTGGATACCTGACACATGGAAGATAATGGATTTTAGCCTTTTAAAAAAATGAAACCCTCATAATTTTACAAGGAGGAAGCAAGTTTGACCATCTAAAATGTGAGACCCTGCTCCTGCCTTTGTTCCAATTAATTTCCATAATTTGCATCCATCTTTTTACTCCTCTGTGAAATATGAAACAACATAACCAGAAGGAAATATGACTACATCCTGCTTACCACCAAACAACTTAGAGGTAAACAGGCTATTCCAACTTTTCTCTGAGCCTAATCTACATATAAAATGAACTGTTCCAAACAGGATATTTTACCACACCTTCAACTCTCCTATGAAATACGAACTTTCATTTCTACCCAGGAGAACTTTTACAATCTTTTCACCTATGTCTGAAGAAGGGTGTTTGTGCCCAAAACCTTGCAATTAAAGAATTTTTTTGCAAAAATGTAGTTGGTCTAATAAAAGATACCACCTCTAATACGAGTCCTGATTCCAAGTATTACTAACATACTGTGAAAAGCCTCAGGTTATAAGCTGGAACTACTTATGCCTCAGCCTCAGTCTTATGTATTGTCATTCTATAAGTATTCCAAGAGCTATAAGTTTGCTTAGCTTGGCTTTGAAAAACTAGTTTTTCCATGTAGGTTATTTTCTTGATTCTAAACTCCCATGCTGTTGTTAATGCATCGGTAGCTTTATTCTTGCCATCGGAGACAATTCAGTAAGATGTAGCCAGTTATGGGGATTAACTGCTATTTCTATTTTCATTAGAAATAACGACAGCAGATACATAATTTTCAACCAGTTGCTTGAATACCTGCACTTAGATATAACTATTTTTTCTTTCAAAAGTATTTTAGAGTCAGAGAATTTCCAAAGCACATTTAACAGTAGTTGTTTTTAAATTGGCATGTGCCTTATAAAGACCCCTTCTTATGTTACTGTGTAGTCTCAGGCTGAAAACTAACATGATTTTTAATATTGGCATGAGAATACTGGATTTTCAATAGTTTAACTGTTTTTGTATGTCTCAAATACTGCCTAATCAACATGAACAATAAACAGATTGAAACAATTGAAATTACTGTATCAGGATCAAATGATATCTACACAGGCTATTACAACACCACTGTTATATCTTCATTGTCCTGAGGCAACACAAATGTAGCAAAACCTTTGCAGCTTTAATCTTGTTTCATTCAGGGTTAAAGTTACAGTGAGTTAGCTTGTACCATTGCAGATACATCCAGATGTAACAGTTACATTGTAACAGCTGGTCACCTCCAGAGTCCCCTCTATTTTTAGAGGTTAAAAAGTATGTTTGTCCATAGCCAAGTTTCTAATGTTTCTTTTGTTGATCCTATTATAAAGCAGATTGAGAAACTACATTTTGAGTTCAGCCCCTCATACTACTGATGCCCTTTTTCGGCGCTCTGGATGCAGCTACTGTAGATCAGAGAAACAACGGTTTTCAAGAGGGATCTTGCAAATTTGGGGAGAGAAAGAAAACATTTAGGATACCTTTACATGTGCGGGGAGGCTGCTCCAACAGGCTGTAATTACAGTGCTTTGGAGCAAACTCGATTAATTGAGTCTGCTGCAGTATGTCTCGAGTCTCGATTAATTGAGTCTGCTGGAGTGTGCTAATCAGTGTGCTCCAGCCAGCCTCCGCATCTCATTTATCAGCATCCCTGTACTTCAAAATGACAGCAGGGACTCTTTAAGTAAAGCTCATTCAATGAGCTTTAGTTAAAGTGCCCCTGCTGCCATTTTGAAGCAGGGGGACGCTAATATATGAGAATCTGTGGGTGATTTAATTAGAGAGGCTCTTGGAGCCGATCTAATTAAAGCATCCCCCACCTCTAGAGCACATGTCAAAAAAACCCTTAATGACAAGTTGTTTCCTTTCCTTTTTAATTTATTTCCAGTTATACTGAAATGAGCATAACTTTTTAAATTAGAGATTTCAGATGCTGCTTCATTCATACTATTTTTTAATTAACAAATGTGAAGCAAATGTATCCTGTATTGATGTAAGGTATCTAACTGGAACAGTTTTCAGTGATAAGTAGTTAATGGGTGTACAGTGGGTTGTGCTGTTGGAATTTGCTGCAGATGTGGTAATTATGGTAGTTAGGTAGCTTAACTGGGAAATGTATTTTGTTCTCATAAAGTTTTTGCTTTTCAGAGTTGAGTGCTTGGTAGTTGCTAATGATGCAACTGTCAAAGGTGGTACCTACTATCCAGTCACAGTAAAGAAACATTTACGGGCTCAAGAAATTGCAATGCAAAATCATCTCCCATGTCTATATTTAGGTAAGTCCTATTGCAAAAATAGTGAATGTCTGTTGTTAAAGGATATCCAAGGACTGTCATTAGAAGACTGCATTTTAAATGGATACTATGATGGAACTGTGGATCCTTAATTTGCTCATCCAAAATCTGAGGTTTCAGATATGTGCATGCATGCACACACATGCACAAACACATGCACATGTTCTCACACTCTCACAGTGCTTGTTCATTCCTTTTATAAAGATAGTAAAACTAAAGGGTGAAAATGATAAGAACTTATAAATTACAGTTAATGCTTGTGTAACAACAAAAAATAGTGCACCCCACATGCACATATCAACTGTGCTTCTGGTCTTATGGAAAAGTCAGGGAATATTTTGTAATGTTGTCTTAGAAAGTTATTATTGAAATACTCGTACCTAAAAAAAAAATAAAGCTAGTTTGATAACTTCAGCTATAGTTCTTAGTCAGTGCTTTTCTACAATTTAACATAGACAGTACTAAAGATAAAAATGACACTATATTTTTAGTCAATGTTTTGATTGTAATTGGTCAGAGATGTCAGTGTGTTTTTTTTTTTCTAAATCTTAAAAACTTTTTTGGTTGTTTATTTTTTTAAATAAGCAACTGGGCATGCTAAATGTGCCAACTGGATGGGGGTGTAGTATAGGTTTTCTTTTCTTTGTTTTTCAGTATAATCTTTTCAGTCCAATGTCTCATCAAGCAATATTTGGCTTGTGAAGTTTTACTGATAACCATTTTATTTGAATTCAGTGCTGTCCAACATCTAAACCCCTGGGGGTCATTCCAGTGGATGTCACATGGCATAGGGGCTGCACCAGGCAAGGCACCGGCCACTGGTACAGCCCCCATGCTGTATGACACTCCTCACTATCCCAGCTGCTCCATTTACCTGCATGGACCCCTGCTTTAGGTTCCATCCCTCCCCACATTGCTGTACTATGCTGGTGTGTAGGAGCAGTTCCCCCATCCCCCTGCAACATGTAATTGCCCTCCACCACTGCCCCACAGGGGATGAACTTCCCCTCCAGCATGGGCTGGAGTCATCCTCAGCTCTCAACACTGCACCACACTGCCCTATCCCTTTTGGCAGAGCCAGGATATAGCAGTCAGATGTAGGGAGGGGAGGTGTCTGGAGACTCCATCTGTTGTTGCAGCCTGGTGAGAGCCCAGTAGCCACAATTTAACCCCGTGCAGCTGCATATTGCCTGTGGACTGTCAGTTGAACATCTGTGTCCTGAATTGATTACTTAGGAGCAATTCTGTGTGATCTTGTGCTTGGAAATCAAAGCGGTACTCTGCAGTAATCCTAGAACAATAATCTGCATTGGGATCTTGCAGTTCCTTAGAATGACTACCTTGTACATTGCAAGAGGCAAGGATTTTTGTGGGTAGTATCTTTTATTGGACCAACTGCATAGTTAGGGTAGACTTAGACAAGTTTTCAAATGAAGAAGTAATGAAGAATGCACTGCATTGGAAAGCTGGTCTCTGTTTATCCCAACCATGCAGTTGGTCTAATAAAAAATACCACTCATAAAAATCCTTGCCTCTTGCATATTTCCTGGAACATCAGAGCTACACCATCATTTTGACACTTTCTTATATATTGGTTTTAATTAAGGTGCACAGTGTGGTTGGTTTAATTTCTTTAGCGTCCATGAGTGACTGTATAAATTTGCCTGCAAATCAGAAATTTAATTTTTACTTCTCTGTTTTGAAGCTAAGAGAATGGTCATAGAAAATACAGTTGAAACTGTATTTTAAGTCAAATAGACCTTTGGCAGAAAGATGAGTTTAGAAAGGTTTGTACAACTGGATGTAATCATGTCTTTTACATTCACCTATTTTTGTTTTGTATAAAAATGTTTGGGATGGATAACAGCTGCTTATGCAGATATATCAATTTTTATTTTGAAAGTGGAGTTTGATGGCCTATTTTTCATGGTTAGTATTTTTACTTATATTAAATGCAAACTCGTCTTTTCGAGTAATATTCAAATTATATCTTAGAAACATTTTTATATGGCTTGGTATAGAGGTAGTTTTACACACTATATATTTTTTGTTCCACTTGACTTAGTTGACTCCGGAGGAGCAAACTTGCCCCGCCAAGCAGAAGTATTTCCTGATCGAGATCATTTTGGTCGCATCTTCTATAACCAAGCAGTTATGTCCTCACAAGGAATTCCACAGGTAACATGCTTAAAACTAAAAATTGCTAACTGGCCTCCATCTTTGCTTCTTCTGCCTGGGTTCAAGATTCATTTCAGCACTTTGAGTTTGTGACAGTTTAGAGTTTTGCTGACCTGACAGCTCAGCGTGGGGAATTGGAGACAGGGTAAACACCACGGCTGTCCACAGATTGACATTAGAGTTTTAAAAAAGCTTGCCTGCCTTCTCAGCCTCAGTGTCAGTGATCTGACCTAGCTGCTCCTGTCTTGGAGTGGGAGAAAAGAGAAACTGACAGTGTAGGATGAATGGGGGAGTAGGGAGCTTAGGGATATCATTTGCAAACAGTTGATTATTCTGAATCATTGCTATAGAGGTGATCACTCCTGTACCAAGGAGGTACACTTAGCTAAAAGGGGTGGGTGTGCGTGTGTGTGTGTGTGTATACATGTACATATGTGTTTATATATGTTTATATGTGTATGTGTTTTGTACAGTGATGTGTATGATAATATTGCTGTGACAAAGAGGTCATTCTTTTAATGTTAATGATGCATAGAAATACTGTTAGTCATGCTGTTTGCATGTAGACATGTTTTTTTTTCCTGATGTTTAGATATGAATGCTACAGACTGATGTTTTAGATATGAGTGCTACCAGTAAAATGAATGCTTCATTCTTTGTATTCACTGCTGATTCTAGGAGGGAACAAGGGATTAATTGATTTGTCAGGCTATCCCACCTATTAAGAACACAGTAGACATAGAAATGGCTCCTAGAGTCCTGACCAGAACAGAGGAATAATAGGTCTACCTATTTTTTTGTTTTACTTCAGTATTGCTAACTGGGTATTTTGTCTGGATGCTGTATTAGTTGTATTTTGATTTTGGATCTGGCTTGTTAGGACAGGTCTTATCGTAGAAATCATATGTGTAACACTCTCCATTCTTTGACCAAACCTATGTATTTGAATTCTCTGAGATAAACTGTTTTTTGGTTGTGTTTTCTTACCCAGATGGAAAAATTGGGAAAGAACATTTCCTTTTAGCCTGTAGCAGGTAGTAGCTAAGACGACTGTCTGGGTTTCACACTTCCCTTAATTATTAGGCATAGTTTCTGTTATAATTCTCCGAGTCAACTGCAACTGATTTCCTTCTAGCATCCTTTAGGGCAGCCTATTTAGGTCTCCTCTAACCTGTCCTTCCTTGGGGCATAATCTTATGTTCTGCTCCCTCAAAGGTCTCAGGCTTCAGGGACATGCAGTTTGCTGTGATCACCATAACAAGTTTGATTTTGGTTCAGCATCTGCACTTGTCTTCTCCAAGGCAGTGACAAGATTAATCAGTGGTAACTCCTCTTTTACCATTGGCAGGTGTGAAGCACTTCAGGTTTTCTCATAGAACTGTGCCTGTCAGCTCTTGGAGAGGGTATGAGTGACCCTTGAGCCTTTTGAATCTGGGCAATTAAGTTTGTATGTTTTCTTACTGCAGAGCTGAAACTTAAAGAGACTTTTTATCCTCATTGAACATTGACATTAACAACACCTTCCTTCTTCCTGCCGGAAGTATTTTTTATCTTACACCTTGACTCAGGAATATAATCACCAGCAAGATCCATAAAACATTAATACAGTAGCTCCTGAATATTCCATGATTCTTAGCTGTCATAATTTATTCTGTTTATATTATAAAATATTGACTAGAGCAGGGGTGGGCAAAATACGGCCCGCGGGCCAGATGCAGCTCGCAAGGCCATTCTATCTGGCCCCCCCACGTGGGCTGCAAGAGGTTGCAGCAGGGAGCGTTGGCCATGGGGTGGGCGAGGGGCCGCTTTTCCCTGCTTGTAAGTGCAGGGACATAGGGTTTCCCACTTCTGGTAGGGAGCATAGGGTCTTTGGGCTCCTGGTTCTGGGGAAGGGAGTAGGGAGAATGAGTCCTTGCATGGCTCTTGGCTCTGGTTCCAGAGGCTGGACTGGAGGCTTAGCACACAGGAGAGCAGTCATTGGATATCTGCCCCACTCTTCCCAACAGGACTAAGCAACCCCATGCTGCTGCATGCCATCGCAGGGATTTTGAAGTGCTCCAGAAGGGGGTTATGGCAAAGCACTACACATCAGCCCCTCACCAGAGTTCTTTGGTTATATTGGAGATGAGGTCTAATACTGCTTCCAGTTCTTGCACATATGTGCAAGTAGAACACAACTGAGGAATCTGAATCTTGCCTTAGAGTTCAGGATGGAGCTGGACCACCAGAAAACTTGGATGCATTCAAATGCAGTCCTTCTTAACTTTAGGGTCTGAAAACCATGTGAACCAATTTTTACATACTTTAGATGGAAAAAGAATTAATTGTACAATTCTCGTTTCATATTGATTGTACAATTTTCTTGTTACATATTGAACAATTCTCTGTTTCATATTGAACTCAGAAGAATTTACTTGGTTTGACCCCAGTGTATCAAGGAAGGCATCCATTGTTAACACTGAGTTAGAAAAAACAATTTACTGTCTTGTGGATTATGAATCTAGCTTTATTCTCTCCTTGCACTCTTTTTGCTAGGAAAGAGAAAACAGAGAAGAGGTCAAAGGAAGCCTCCTGTGCCCATTTTTGGGTGAATAAAACTAATTTCCTAGCAGGAATAAAAAAATAAATATTTAGGCATAGATGGTGACAGGGCTATTGTGCCAAATGATTAGTTTGGAAGGAATTCAAAATAATTTTATTCTCACCAATGGGTTTTCTTGTAGTTCATGCAAGAGACTAGAAAAAAATCAGCCAAGCAGGAGTTACCTATCCATTTTATTGTCTTTTCCCCCACAGTGGAGGATCTGAGTATGAAGTGATTGCAGCATGCAACTCCAGTCATTATCTTGACAGGGGATGGTATTTTGTAGGTGGTGCCTTAAAGATGGAAATACTAAAAGCAAGTAAAAATAAGGAAGGCTGGAAGAATTGTGAATGTCTGGCAAGGTCCCTTGGCTGCTTTCCTTTAAAGTCAGGGTGGGCAATTATTTGGGCTGGAGGACCACTTAACACGTTTTGGTGAGCTGTTGAGGGTTACACACACAAACATGTGCGCACACATGTGCTTGCTCATGCGCACACACAAATACATGCTTCTTGGCCCCAGCCCCCCTGCCCAGAGCCCAAAGCTGGCACTAGCTGGCCACATCTGCAGCTGAGGTGGGGCAGGGGATGGAGTCTGGCTGTGGACCTCTGCACTGTTCTGCCCTGCTATCAGGGCTCCTGGTCCATGTACCTCCCCCCAGCCCTGTGGCTTCCAGGAGCCTAGATGCCAGGGTAGGACAGGACAGTGTGGAGGCCTGTAGGCTGGATGAGTTGTATTCAGGCCCCAGTGGCTGCTGGGCAGAAGCAGCCCTGCCTGCTCACCTAGCATTGTATGACAGCCAGTGCTAGAGCCTCCAGGGCCCAAGTGCAGCTTGCCCAGGGCCTACTGTGTAATACCAGGCAGGTGGGCAGGGCTGCTTCTTCCCAGCATCCCCCGTAGTGCCTGGGAGATGCAGTCTGGCCCTGTGCTCTGGCCCCCACCTCTGCTGGTGGGCAGTGCAGGCAGCAGCTCTGCCTCCGGCCTCTGCTGGCACCATGCAGTGCTGGGTGGGCAGGGCTGCTTCTGCCCAGCATCCCCTGCAGTGCCTGGGAGATGGAGTCCGACCCCACAGGCCCTGGGCAGCCCATACTCCATCTCCCAGGCCATTGCACAGTGCCGGGTGGGTGGGGCTGCTTATGCTCAGCATCCCCTGTGGTGCTACCAGAGGCTGGAGCTGGAGCTGCTGCCCACCAGCAGAGGCAGGACCCCAAGTGCAACTGCCTGCTAGATTTTTCCCATCCGTGCTTTAAAGACATGCTCAGTATTTTGAAGCCTATATCCATTTATCTGCTAACACTGTGTGATTACTACCTCATTTGTCACTTGTGCTTTTTCTGGATCCAGTTGATAATTGTAGTCTTTGTTCTAATATTTTCCATGAGACTTATAGCAACCTACTTTGGTCATTCTCTCTCTGGGAAGGAAAGATCCTATTATCTCTATTCATTTATCGCCCCTCTGAAGTAGTCTATAATCTTATTGCCCTTTGGAGCAATTTCTGCACCTCTTATAATTTAGTGAAGCCTACCCACAGCAGCTCTCCAGCACTTCTCATTTTTGACTTTACACTGTTTCCCTGTCTCGCTTGTGCCTTCTTATCTGTGCTTCTGATTTTAGCCCTAATTAGGACTGATTTATTCAAGTTGCTAGTTCATTGCTTTCTCAGTAACTTTACTGTATGGTCAGGCTTATGAAGCCTTGATCCCCTGTTAGCTCCTCCTCTTTTCTGTCACTAAACTGAATGGATGCAGCAGAGAGGCAAGTCACATCTGTTAAGCATGTGATTGTGTGTATTTCCAGAGTATGGATTTTATTACCCTGGTGGGTCTTTGCCTATCTATCTTTGCCTTGTCTAATCAAAGAAAGCACTGGAGAAGCAGTTCCTTGGGGTAGAGATTTGTGGTCCTGTTTTTACTTTTGACACCATGATTTTGAAAACTCTCATTTATACTGAAAAAAATTAAAAGTTATTTTAAACGCATCTATGTTTTATAAAATAAGATCTGCCAAATTAAAAAAAGAAGCCAGAAAAGGTACAAGTAATTTGTTTTAAGTATTTGTTGCTTTCAAAGCACATTCTATTCTGCTTGTGGATGTTTGATGTCTAATTTAATGTGCAAAAGAAAGTCTATTGATTAATTACTCTGCCCTCATTGCAATGTGGGGCACAAGATGCTAGTTGCTAAGAAAACTCCTTTTGATTCCAAGTTGGTAGGCAAAATGAATATCATTTGCTCCTTTTCCAGATGCAAGAGAAGCCTGCTTGATCCCCTCTTTTTGCATAGTGAGTTTGCTTTATAATAGCAGCTGTTCAGTTCTTGCCCATATGTGAAGTTGGAAGGTTGTTTGTTTGTACTTTATTGCTATCCCAGTCTTTCATTGTTTTTTAAATTGTATTTTCAGAGATTCTGAAAGCAAATAATACATTTGGCAATGATTTGTTTCGCATTTCTCTCAGCATTCATATCACTGCTTTTCTTGTTTTTTGTATTCTGTTACTTTGTTTCAAGTGCCTTGAAACAATTTTGACTTTCCCTGTGCAGCACTTGTGACATTGGTGCTATGGGAAGAGCTCAGTTTGTATCACATATTCTTTTTTTTTAATTGATTTTTTCTTGATTTATAACAAAACAGATTGTAATTGTCTTTTTAATTGCCATTATATATCAAATTAACCAGTAAAAAATAGATATTGTTCCAATTATAAGATGACCCCGTATTTTCAGGTTCAGTTTTAAGAAGTCAAATTTTCCTCTTAAATATAAGTCAGTTATTACTGATAAAAACCTAGAACTATTAGTGTCCTTACAGTATCTCCCAACAGAATCAAAGAAAGCTGAAATGGTTAAACGCAGTAAAAATACTAAAATAAAAACTGCACTGAAAAAAATTCTTCCATGCACAGAATTACTACAGATACCAAAGTCCAGATTATTGAGGGCCTTGATTGTAGGTTAACCTCATGTATAAGTCAAGTTTTATGGTTCCTTTTGAGGATGAGATGGTAAACATAATCATAACAGTGGATCCAGTAAAAGCCAGAGTAAGAGGTGTGTTTTATAATACATCCTGATGGCCAGCAAATGGAGGCTTTTGTGAGTTGGCCAATTAGAGAAGTAAATTAATTCCCACTGGAACTGAAGAACCTCTTCTTGTTTTAAACTCATCCTTTTTTTTCTTACCTGTGCCTCTAGATTTCTGTCTGCTTTTGGTCCTGTGGTTAATTTATTCAAATTACTAATTTATTACTTTCTCTCTGCAACATTAAATCTATGCTGTGTCTAAGCAGCTATGAAACAAGAAGTCATGTTTGGCTTCCTGTTAGCCCCCACTCATCAGGGTCCTCAAGCTGTGGCAATACAGTGGATTATCAAGAACTGTGTGTTAAATATTTGATTTTGTATATTTCAGACAGAGGATTTTGTCTTGCCATCACTCCTGAGATCTATAAATGTAAAACATTGTACTTGAGTATATCATCTAGAAACATCAGTTGTTGACTTCCATGCAGCTATATTTGTTTTTATTTAAATGAATCAGGAAGTCCTCAGATACTCCTGTGGGTCACTCAAGTACTTAGAGAGATTCTCTTTAGTTTCTGAGGAAATGCTTACCGAACGGGGTAAAAAAACATCCTGTATACTCTGCATGAACATATATCATCCCACAGCACTTATTGTGAACCTCTGCTAAAATTAATACAGTGAAGATTAATGGACATGTGACTTAAGGAGTCTGGACTAACTGGAGTGTTTCTTCCTCAGATAGCAGTGGTGATGGGATCCTGTACAGCAGGAGGAGCATACGTACCTGCAATGGCTGATGAAAGTATAATAGTTGGCAAACAAGGAACAATATTCTTGGGAGGGCCTCCGTTGGTAAGTGGCTAAAACTTGTATTATGTATAATACATATATAATACCGTATATAATATCTGTAAGTGCATTTGTACAAACTTCTTGGGTTTTCTCTCACTTGTCTTGCAAATCTAAAAAGAAAATCAAAACTCAGGTTAATCACTTTCTTGTATTTGTAGATGTATCATGCTGCAAGTATATAATTAGATCATGTTAAGGTTTTTTGTAGAGGTGCACCAATACATCAGTCCTATATCGGATTGGCACCAATATAAGGAAAATTGACAGTATCGGCAATTGGCTTTTTTTGGCTGACGTAGCCAATAAATGCCCTGTGCATGCATGCAGCTGCAGCATAGCACGCAGGTGGCCAGGAGCACAGCTGGGTCCGGCTGGTAAGTCTGTTGTGAGGGAAGGGGCATGGGGTGGGGGCAGATCAAGGCGTTGACGGTGAGGGAGGGAGTGGGCCTGGGGCAGGGGCAAGTGCTGCACAACCAGGGCAGAGCAGGGGACAGAGCCACAAATCGTTCACCCCGGGGGGAGGGGTGGGGGGCTGGGCTCTTCCTGGTAGGGGGTGGTTGGGCTGGGCTGCGCTTGGGGCAGGCGGCAGCAGGTCTGGGAGGAGGGTTATAGGGGGGGCTGCAGCCACCACAAAATGAGTCATGGTGGTACTGCTAAGGGGGGTTGGGGAGCTATGGCAAATTTGGGGGGGCTGCAGCCCCCCTCCCAATGCTGCTGCTGCCTTCCCTGAGCGGAGCCCTGCCCAGCCCCCTCACCAGGAAGAGCCCGGTGCTGCCCCAGCCTGCAGCCCAGCCCACCCCAACACCACACCACAGGGGGTGGCGAACGGCCATAGTTTAGAGCTGGCAGTGTGCAGTGGCCGGCAGGGCCTGTATGGCACTGTCCGTGGGGCCTGGGGTGGTTGCCCTGATTCGCCCCCCAACAAGGGACAGCTTTGAATATAGCATCTGGGTCTGACTCAAACTTATAAAACCAGGAAGGTCAGAGGTAAGGCTGAAATTGCATCCATATCTTATCTCATTGGTGTGTTGGATAGGGGATACAACTTTAGAACACCAAATGATCTACTGTATTTTTAAAAGTTGTCTTGCACACAAAAGGAGGTATTAAGGTTTTGAATTTTAGTCATAATTTCCTTACTTTCTTGGGGCATGTCTCTAAGAGAAATCATCCAGATATCTGTGTCATTTCACACTAGTAATTGTGAAATATTTTCACAAATGTGAAAGCCCTCTTCAAATGCAGTTTTTAACTTCTTTTCTAAATTGCATCCTGTAGTCTGTTAAAGTAGAATTGATTCTTTGGCCTGGCTTATGTTTCAAACTTATCCTGCCATAGTCCTGTTAGTTAGGCACATGATTTATTTTTCCCCCTAAATAGAGCTTTGCCACTATATGCCCTAATGTAGGTGCAACATATACCAGCAAGAAAGTTCTTTTGTCTTTGTTTTACTTGTTTTACTCAGGGACCTGGTGTAAGCTAAATTTTACTCAGGTTTTATTCCTGGTTTTACTCAGGAATAGCTTGTTTTACTCAGGAACCTGGTGTAAGCTAAATTTGCAAAAACATTTTTGCTGGTAAAAGGTGGGTCTAAACAGAAAATGATAGCATACCTACTTTGGCAAACCCATTCTAGCATGGACAAGGTCTTATTGGGTAAAATTTTGCTTCCCACTTGAAACAGTATAATGTACTGTGTTGTCAAGCAATAAATGGTATAGTGTTTTGAGAACAAGCTAGGAAACTACAAATACCTGAGTTAAAGCCAATCAGACCTCTTGGGAAGGTGTGATCTTTTAGTAGACCAACTAGATAGTTGCAAAAGTTTCTTTATTTGTAAGCTTTCAGGCATCCATGCCCTTCCTCAGGTATAGGAGAGTGCAAAGATTGTAATGTTTCTCCCAGGTGGAAATGAAAATTCTTATTTCACAGGAGAGCTGAAAGGTAGTGTAAAATCTTTTGGTTGGAAAAGATCATTTTATGCAAAATAGGCTCACATAAAAGTTGGAGAAGTCTGTTTACCTCAGAGTTGTCTGATGGTAAACAGGACATTGAATTATGCTTCTTTCTTGTTATGACGTTTCATATTTCACAGGAGGGTGGATGATAGAAGGTTCTCCTGGGCAAGGAATTTCTGTTGTGTTGAGACTGCTCTGCGAGTATGCAAATTTGACTCGAAACAAAAGGTGGGAGCAAGGGTATCAGCTTTCAGTCCTCAAGGTGACGTTGAGGTGGCGTTGCATTTTGCTTCTTTCTTGTAAAATTATGAAGTTAGGAAGGGTGTGCGCGCCCGAAAGCTTGCAAATAAAGACTTTTTTTTGCAATTATCTAGTTGGTCTAATGAAAGATATCACCTCTCCAAGAGTTCTGATTACTTTTGCCTGCAGACCAACATGGCTACAACCTGTGTCCCTGAAACATGCAAGTTAAAGCCAGATATCTCACCAAAAGGCTTGCATTTGAATGTGTATAAATGTGGAAATCAGCTGGTAATCCTATTTTGTATTACTTGTACTACAAAATTCCTCAGATGACAGAGATGAAGTCAAAATCATAGCAAGTAGGGATGGAGAGGACTTGAGAGATTTCTGATCCATTCATTCACCCCAAGGTGGGGATTATATGTACCTGAAACATTCCTGACACATTTATCCAACCTGCTCTTAAAACCTTGAATGTACCTAAGTAATCTATTCCCTAGGTATTTCCTAATTCAGGGGTGTAAAACATGGCCTGCAGGCTGGATCCAGCCCATAGAGATGTATGATCCAGCCCATACATCACTGAACCAACCACATGTGCTGACCACAGCCCTTTGTGCCCTTCATGTAATGCAGGATCAGTTTGGGGCACGCTGCACGTGGTGCTCTGTCAAGCCAGCCCGGTCTGGATTGGTGCCCCAGACCCGTGTCCGGTCTGGATTGGTGCCCCAGACCCCTGTATTATCTGCACCATGTGTCCATATGTGGTATGTGCTGGCCCCAGAGCTGGCTGTATACATGACACACGGTGCTGTCCAGTGTTCATTCTGGATCTGGCACTGCATGTGGTGCAGGGAGTCTGGGGCTTGGGCTTCATGTGGTGGTCCTGGACCAACCCCCTGTGCTGTCTGTAGCTCTGGGTTCATCCTACGCATTGTGGACAGTGCGTGTCTTGTTTGGGAAATATATTTTATGTTACTTCAGTGGAAGTTTTCCAGTCTGCAGAAAAGGATAAATTGGCAAAACAGATAGAGTAATCAGTAGCCACCCCTGAACAATGAAAGTGCGCCATTCAGTACTGATTGATTTGTTGCTCATTTCCTATTGAATTTATTTGCCACTAATTATGTCATTTTAAATATGTTACCTGAGTATCTTTTCTCATTGTATTACTCATTGTATTGTCTTGTATTACTCCTTTTTACCAAACTAAAAGCTCATTGCTTATATGTAAACTAATGCAGGACCTTGCCTCAAATTAAGGATATTCACCTAGACTTATTTTATCACTGTTGACTAGCATATAGGTGAACAAACAGTATCTGAGAAAAGAGAGTCAGTAACACTGTATGGTTCTTTTTAGTGCTTCATGAAGGTGTATATTGAAGCCATCTTCAATAAGCTGTTGTTTCAGATGTGGTGGTGGTTCTATGAAGTACCCAGTTCTCCATTCCCCACAGCTACCCCAATTATTTTCTTCATAGATCCAAACATCTTAAGGAAAAGGAATGTGTATATTAGACACGGTCAATGCCTTCATGTGAATAAAATTATATATAGCATTCAAAACTTCAGGTACAACTCCCTTATTACTGCACAGTCTTCAAAAAGAAAAGTGATTTTTCTGAGCATAGAGATCACGAATACATTATGAGGAGATCTGAAACTATCACAGCAGCCTTCCTCCACACTTTTTCAAACACTGTGGAATCAACATCATTGCCCTTGCTGTTGCTGCTTGGTAGAAGGGTATTACAAAACAGGGTGCTGCAGTATTCTTTAGCTGCATTTCAGTCTTACATGGCCAAATTAAAGCCTCTCTCTCCTTCCCTGTGGGGGATCATTTGTTGCTTTCTTCATTCCTTTGTGACAGCAGTCTGACATGGAAAGA